AGTTAAACTTATGTATATAAAGCAAGTGTAAAAGCTATGATTATTAAAATTAAAATATTATTTTATAATATAAAATATTATAGTTATATACTATTATAAAAAATAAAAAAATGGCTAAAATGATGTTAATGTTTGCTGTACTACTATTGACAACTCTAATTAGTAAGCTTATTTTTATTAATATAAATATTAATTTCTAATATATTTTTTTTAATTAGAAATTTATATAATAATATAAAATATATGTTTATTTAATTGAATTAATTTAGTATATAGTTGTAACCTTTTGTAGACCCCTACTCTAATTAAAAAAAAAATCTAAATCCTTGCTTAACTTTTAGATAAAATAGGAAAATATTATTTTATATTAAAAAATAAAATTATATTTTTAGATAAAAAACAATACGATTTTTATTAAATATAATTATGATATTGCCTTATATCAGTAATACTATTTACTGATATATTTTTGCTAAATATGCAAATAATTAAAACTTATTAAAATACTGATAAAGTATTTGCACTTAAATGTTATTAATACTGTATAGGCTTTTTAACGGCTTTAAAATACATTTTAAAAAATATATTTTATATACATTATAAATAATAACTAAATAATACAAATTGTATATTAATACTATTGTTTTAATACTATTGTTTTAATACAGAATATAATTAATATTGTTGTAGTAATACTAAGTAGAGTTGCCCATATAATACTGTTGTTATTAGTATATTAATAATACTTTTGTTTTCAAATAATAAGTAGTGTGTCATATACTGCATTAATACTGAATACTATCAATACATTGTAATACTAAAGGTAAATATTATTATTATTATTATTATTATTATTATTATTATTATTATTATTATTATTATTATTATTATTATTATTATTATTATTATTATTATTATTATTATTATTATTATTATTATTATTATTATTATTATTATTATTATTATTATTATTATTATTATTATTATTATTATTATTATTATTATTATTATTATTATTATTATTATTATTATTATTATGTTATTATGTGTGTGTGTGTGTGTGTGTGTGTGTGTGTGTGTGTGTGTGTGTGTGTTATTATTATTATTATTATTATTATTATTATTATTATTATTATTATTATTATTATTATTATTATTATTATTATTATTATTATTATTATTATTATTATTATTATTATTATTATTATTATTATTATTATTATTATTATTATTATTATTATTATTATTATTATTATTATTATTATTATTATTATTATTATTATTATTATTATTATTATTATTATTATTATTATTATTATTATTATTATTATTATTATTATTATTATTATATTATTATTATTATTATTATTATTATTATTATTATTATTATTATTATTATTATTATGTTATTATTATTATTATTATTATTGTTATTATTATTATTATTATTATTATTATTATTATGTATTATTATTATTATTATTATTGTGTATGTTATTATGTGTGTTATCTATTATTATGATTATGTGTGTTACATACATGTTATTATTATTATTATTATTATGTGTTATTATGTTATTATTATTATTATTATTATTATTATTATTATTATTATTATTATTATTATTATTATTATTATTATTATTATTATTATTATTATTATTATTATTATTATTATTATTATTATTATTATTATTATTATTATAAATTATTATTAAGGGATAATTATTATTATTATTAATTATTATTAATTATCCCGTCTAAAAATATTATTATTATTATAATTATTATTAAATATTATTATTATTATTGGTTATTATTATTATTATTATTATTATTATTATTATTATTATTATTATTATTATTATTATTATTATTATTAATATTATGGGAACATTAATTAGTATTATTATATATTATATCTTTGTTATTAATGGGAATTTATTTAGTAATGTTATTATTATTATTATTATTAACTTATATATTGTATATTATTATTATTGTTATTATTATTATTATTATTACTCATTATTATGTCGTCTGCATTATTACAATATTATTATTATTGATTCAAATTAGCATATAAATTATTGATGTATTATTATTGTTATTATTATTATTATTATTATTATGTTATTATTATTATTATTAGTCTTATTAATTACATTATTATTATTATTATTATTATTATTATTATTAACATTTAACTATTAACATTATTATTATTATTATTATTATTATTATTACATTACACACACATTATTATTATTATCGACTTGCAAAGCATTGGTCAGCATTATTATTATTATTATTAGTTATTATTGTATATTGTTATGAACTTTATTTTACTATTATTATTATTATTATTATTATTATCAAATAAACAATTCATTTAACTATTATACTGTGTGTAACATTATTACGGATTACTTCATTGTGTCGACTGTGATATTGTTGAGGACTAATCGAAGTTGGTCCTCAGCGAAGGCTATTATCGGACGGTCTTCGGCGAGATCTACGGTCGGACAGATCTCGGGTTGTGTGTGTCGACTAAGGTCTCGGGACTTAAAGCGGGACAGAAAAGACGGCAACACACCACAATATATATATACAGTGTCTATAATTAGATAGTATTTTAACAAAAAAAAACTATAATTACTAATAATTGTGATTATTTTATTATTTATTAAAAAAAATTTTTTATATATATTTTTTACAATATCTATAGTTGTCCATGGTCATAATAATAAATGTAAATCTGGTCTACATTATTGCAAAAGTATAGGTCATGGTATAGAGACCAGATGCTGTCCAAGTCATGTACAATGTATTGAGCATGGTGATAGACTAGATAGAGATGAAATAGTTTATTATCATAAAAAATGTTTTGAAATATAAAATTAATAAATATTTAACTACTACTAAATACTATTAGATAATATAATAAATAAAAAATGTTTTTATTATTTTAATGAGAATAGTCAATATATTTTAAATTAAAAAAAACAATTTTAAATTATTATTTTTTTTAAATAATAACAATGAAATTAAATTGTTTACATTTAATATTTTATAGTATATTATTTTTTAGTTTAATTTATCAAAGTTTAAAGTTAAGTATTTCCTATTTTTCATACCCACTTAATTCAATAGTTAAATATGAAATAACAACAAAAATTGTTTTACCATCAATTGTTTTATGTTTACCTAAACATTATCTTATTAAAAGTGATCAACAATTTAAATATTTTACTAATAAATCCGATAAATTCAATTATAAAAAATTTAATAATTTAACATTTGAACAACAAATGAATTCGTTTATTAACTATAAAAATTCAATAGATTGTAGTTTATATGATAAAAATGGTAACATTTATAAAAAAATGTCAAAATATTAGTTCAATTAAATATACAATAGATTATAATGATTTTTGTGCCATATTTATGACTCAATGGGAAAATATTAATAATTATGTTCAAAAAAATAATTTCCCACTATATTTTTTAAGCATTAATATTTCAATTAATAAAGATAATCTAGGCAATTTATTATCTCTATATTTTTTTAATCCTAAAGACAAATATCTACGTAAACATAGTGACAAAATATTTTATCTTGAAATAAACAAATATAATGAAAATCATTTAGTTATTAAACGTAAAACCGTTATAAATGATTTTGGATCACATTCAACAAAACAATCATGTTATAATAAATGTTTTGTTGAAAAATATTATCAACAATTTAATAATTATCCACCATTTATATTGTGGAACAATTTAACTACAAGTGACGGCTATGATGTAAATAAATTTTCAAATATTTTCTATTATAAAACTATTGAATTTTATTGTGACCATAAATGCTCAAAAATTATAGATTATATAGATTATCATTATTCTGTTACAAATTTTCATGAAAAATCTCAATCAAATAATACTAATTTATATTTATATTATACTAATGAACCGGAAACAATATTTGTGTCATTATATAAGTATACATTTGAGGACTTTTTTTGCCAACTAGCTAGTTTAATTAGTTTATATTTAGGTGCCTCATTTTTACTATGCGCCAATAGTATAATAAATTTATATGTTAAATATATAAATAAACATCAAAATATAGTATATACAAATAAATTTAAAAGTAATATTATAAAATTATCAATTAAACTAATTGGACCTATATTCGTAATTAATGAAAAACGTGATAATGCAAAATTTTTTACCCGTACCACAAGACTACCAAGAGCACCTAGATCATTATCAAAATAATTTAATAAGTATGTATTTTTTTTAAAAAAAAATATTACTTAATATATTTATTTAATTTATTTTTCAAAAATATTACTAAATATATTTTTAAAATTATTTTTCTAAAATATTTTATTTAATAGTTTTACAAACATTTTTGAAGAGAACAACAACAACAATAATCAACAATAAAAAAATACCGAAATATTTCATCGATCCATCGGTTCGGCGACGACTTGTTATCGGCCTATTGTTTGCATACATTTGCTGATACTTACGGATCGCTTTAATTATTATTTTTATGATTATTATTATAAATTAAAAAAAAATTTAATTAAAATGTATCACTAGTTAAAATAGCTATTTTCTACTTGAAAAATATATATTTATTAATATAATTTATTTTAATTATTCAAATTTAATTGATATTACAATAGTTGTTATTATAATATTATAATTATTTGAATCTAATCTAATTTATTAACTTTTTAAGCTAATTAATAACTATAAGTGATTTATAAATATTATTTATAAAAACAAAACACAAAAACAAATAATTTATAATTTTTATTTAATTTTTATCAAACTATGAATAGTTATAAAAAATTTTGTTTAATTTCATAATTTTTATATAACTGTTGCCTAGAAACAAAAAATTACTGTAATTAATATTTTATAAAAATTATTAAAAATTAATTTTACCCCAAATCCAGCCATTTTTATTGACAATGATGTTGTATACGACCATTGATTTAATTTATAATCATATGTTTCAACCGTATCTATTACACCGTCAATAACTATATAATAAATAATAATAAAAAATTTATAGATTAGATATAAAGCATATAAACATAAAAAATAAATAATAATAATAGATTTTATAGTTTTTTTTGGTATTATTAAATGTATTAAAAATTATATTATATAATAAATAAAATATACTCAATTGTTAAGCATTATAATATATATATATATTTAACCTATAATTAAATTTTAAATTATTTAAAATTATATCTAAAAAAAGTTACTAAAAATACAATACAATTTTATAACAATTTTAGTTTTTTTAAAGTAAATAAATTGAAATTATACCATTTGTATAGCCACCCAATGCATATAATTTATCATTGAATGCAATCAATTTAAATTGATATCTAGTTGAAAGCATTGGTGCTATTGATTCAAATAAATAAATAATTTGTATATTAATTATAATTAATAGATATTAATCAAAAAATAAAAAATCAAAAATCAAAATTATTTTAATAGTTAATAACAACCAACCAATTACTGTCCATTTATTTGTTTTGGGATCATATGTTTCGCATGATTTCCAATCATTATAACCTACACCCCCGCAAACATATATTTTACCCATAAATGATGCTGAACCAAATAAATATCTATAATTTTATTGATTAAAAAAAATAAATAAATAAAAATTATATATATAGCTAAAATTTTTCTATATATTACATTAATTATAATCAACATAGTAATAAATAGTTATAGTTAATTAGCTATTTAGCTAGCAAATTAACTAGTTTATAATTATTAAAATTACAAAGCACTATACTGAATAATTTTTATTCAAATAAATAATTTAATTAATCTTTATTCAATTTAAATTTAATAAATTTATATTCAACTTTAATTTAATTAATTTCTAATCAACTTAAATTTAATTATTTTTAAAAAATAAAAAATAATAACTACTAGTATAATAAATAATTTTTAAGCAATAATTATATATATAATACTAAATAAAACTAACCTCGGATATCTCATATGTTTCATTGGTATCCATTGTTGTGTAGTTGTATCCAATCTTTCCATTGTATCTACAATTTCATTACCACTTTTACCGCCGATAGCATACATAAGCCCATCGTGTGCTACCAGTGCCAGACCATACCTTTCCTCAATCATTGGTGTCGCAAAAGACCATTCATCAGTATTTGGTAAATAATATTCACATGATTTTGAAATATTATCTAATTATATATTAAAAAATATCAATTGATTAATAAATTATTTGATAGTAACATATAGTAAGTTAAAAAAAAATTTAGTATTTCCTAATACTAATAATAAGATTATGAAAATGTTATTAATTAGTAAATTAATTTAATAAAAATACTAAGTTAAAAAAATATTTTATTTTTCAAAAAAATATATATATAAACTTACTATTTCGTCCACCACATATATAAATTCTATTATCTATTACAGTTGCATCATTGTAACTTTTTTAAAAAAATTCAAAAACAATAAAAATTAAATAATTTATAATAATTTATTTAAAAAATATTATTATATTTAAAAATAATTAATTTTATTCAAATACCCGCGTAATTGATTCATCGATGCTATTGGTTTCCATTGATTTGTTTGCGTATCGTATGTTTCAACACTATTCAAATAATTACCCTATTTTTTGATATATATATTTAAAAAATACAATAATAGTTATTAATATTTTTAATACTAGTTATTAATATTTTTATACTGTACATATAGTGTACAACAAATATATTATTATTGCTATTATATATATATATATATGAAAAAAATTATTAATAAAAAAATATCATATCATAAGTTTAAGTGCAAATTATTTAAAAAAAAACTTATGATAACCTTATTGTACTTAAATATCAGATTAAATACAACAATACAATGATTACCTATTGTAATGTCTAAATGCAATAATATAATCAATGTATAAGCAAAATATATATATATTTATAATATTTTTAACAGTTATTTTTTGTTGATAATTAATTAATACTAGTTATTAATAATTTTAATAATAGTTATTGATATTTTTAATAAAATTATATTTTTTTTAATTATATTTTTTTTTGCTGATACATACATCCCAACCGCCGATTGCATACAATTTTGAATCAATTGAAATCAAACTAAACACTTGGCGTTTAGTGGACATGGATTGTATTGGTTGCCAAACATTTGTTTGCTTATCATATTTATAACATACAGTCAAACGTGTTGTCCCATCATATCCGCCGCATATATAGATAAAACTATCGCCCGATAAGTCATCAATTGTTTGCTAATAATTAGTAACAAAAAATTAATTAATAATTTATAAATGAAAATATATAAATTACTATACATTACATTATTATTATTATTAATTGCTAATGTATTTAACAAATAAAAACAATTAAATAAGTAAATGGATATAATTAAAATCAATAAATTAAATTTATTAGACATTTTTTTAAAAAAAAAATATTATTATAGTAAAATAATATTTATGTTCAACAATTAGTGTACAACAAATATATTGTTATTGCTATTATATATATATATATGAAAAAAATTATTAATAAAAAAAATATCATATCATAAGTTTAAGTGCAAATTATTTCAAAAGAAAACTTATTATAACCTTATTGTACTTAAATATTAGATTAAATACAACAATACAATAATTACCTATTGTAATGTCTAAATGCAATAATTTAATCAGTGTATAAGCAAAATATATAGATATTATATTTAACAGTTAGTTTTTTTGTTGATAATTAATTAATACAAATATTATAACACTATTATAACTAAAAAAAATGCCTGAAATATACAAAAATTAGTTTATAATAATTAATTTAATATATTTGTTAGAAAATGTGTTGTTTATACTATGATTATGACCACTATTATTGATATATATACATTAGTAATTATTTTTTTTAATTGTAAAATTTTTTTAAGGAAAAAAAACATGATAATTAAGATCGTTGTTTTTTAATTTTACTGTATATATATATATATATATAGTAGTAACAATATCAATTAAATAATCTATATTTATCAAATTATTTTACTAACTTAACATTACAAACATTTATAATTATATATATTTTTTATAATTAAAAACTGTTTAAATTTTGTCAATTAAGTCAATTGTTTGCTAATAATTAGACACAAAAATAACTTGAATATTAAAATTGTAAAAAAATTAATAAATATACATTACATTATAATCATAATAATTATTATTATTACTAGCTAGTAAATACTATTAAAATAGTTAATGAATATAAATAAAATCAATAAATTAATAAATTTATTAGACATTATTTTTATTATAATTATTATAATAAAATAATATTTATGTTGAACAATTAGTGTACAAAAATTTTATAATTATTATAATAGTTTTCCATAGAAAATCCATATACAAATAAAATATTAAATTGTAACTTTATAAAATCAAATAAATGTTTTAAAAAAGTAAACTTAACTTCAGATAATGTAAGCTATCACATGATTAAATACTATAAAATAAACTCAAATTTAGTCACTTAAGGTATAATACAGTATAGTTATAGATTAGTACTGTATATACAGTAAAATATATTTATTATAAAATATAAATGTATTATTACATTAAGTTAAAATTTAGGCATAATAATCATTCATTTTTGTAATTAAATTAAACAATAACATCAAATATTTTTTTTAAACCAATTTTTTTAAAATAAGTTATTTAAATTTAATTTTTAGAAATTTAGAAAATTAATTATTAGATAATTATTAAATATTAGATAACAAAAAATTATTTGTTTCATTTGCCATTAGTTTATTTTTTTTAATAATTTTGAGTTAAGATTTTTTTTAGTGTTGGTTTTTTTCATTTACTTTTTCCCAGATAAGTCATTTAGCAATCATGTTCACATCCTAATTATTAAAACAAACAATAGATTAAAAATTATTAAATATTTTTTAAAACTATTTTTAGTTTAATTTAAAAATAATTTATTTTATCATTTATGGTATCTTATATTTATTAATAAATAATCTATAATAATTACATTTAAATATACAGTAATAATATTACTATATATATATTGTATTTATTAATTACCTGCACCACTAAAATTAGGATTAACCCAATCTGCAACTTGTATTATTAATACAGTTAGTACAATGACAATGGTCATCATACTAACAAAACCACCATGCTCATTTGTTGATTGTTGTCCAAACATTTTGTATTATTATTATTATTATTATAACAATGAGTTTATTGTAAACTATATTGATTTTATTCAATAGTTCAATAGTTAACTAACAATTAATTTATTTTACACAAAATTATATAGTATTTATGCTATTTTTTTGCTAAATTAAATTTTAAAAAAACTCCATTTAATTAATTTAATTAAACATCTGTATTTTATAAATTAATTTTAGTAATATTAGTTTTATTTAAGTGGATAAAAATGGATGAAAATCTAAGAAAATGAGATATGAAAATAATTAAATAATAAATATATTAATATTTTTTTAAAACTAAATTTTCTAAATTTATTGACGTCAATTTATTAATTATCCATTAAATAATTTTTTTAAATGTTATTATTTACTCCTAACTACTTTATGCTATTTTTTGCAAAATTAAATTATTAAAAAAATGTTATAAAAATGGATATGAAATAATTAAAAAAAATTATATATTAGTATTTTTTCAATAAATGGCCGCCTAGTATTAGCTCATTATGTTAAAATTAGATATTTAAAAAAAATTATTTATATAATTAAATTAAACAACAACATGAAATATTTGTTTAAAAAAGCAATTTTATTAATAAAATATTTTTTTTAATTTACAAATAATAATTTTTTTGGATGTTATTTAAATTTAATTTTTAGAAATTAATAACTAGGTAAAAAAACTATTTATTTTCCATTAGTTTTTTTTAATAAATAATTTTTAATAAATTAGTTTATTTACTGCTGCTTTTTTTACTTTTACTTTTTCCCAATTAAATAAATTGCATTTTTTTCGCCCGATTAGTCACAATTAGGATCGCATCCTAATTATTTACAAACAAACAATAGAATCAAAATTTAAAAATATATATATAAATAATAATATAGAATATTAATAATATATTTTTTAATTATGTTAAATTTAATTCAAAATGTTAATTTATTTTATCATTTATGGTATTTATAAATTTATTCCATAAATAATCTATATATAAACACTATTATAATTACAATTAAATATACAGTAATAATAATACTATATATATATATTGTATTTATTAATTACCTGCACCAGACCGACTAAATCTAGGATCATTAAAATCGATTGTAATTTGTATTATTAATACAGTTAGTACTATGACAATGGTCATCATACTAACAAAACCACCATGCTCATTAGTTGATTGTTGTCCAATCATTTTTGTAGTAGTATTATTATTATAACAATAAGTTTTTTGAAACTATATTAATTTTATTCAATAGTTCAATAGTTAGCTATTAATTTTAGCTATTATTTTACACAACGTTATACAGTACTTATGCTATTTTCTGCTAAATTAATTATTAAAAAACTCCATTTAATTAATTTAATTGCAAAAATCTGTATGTTATTAATTTTTAGTAATATTAGTTTTAATTAAGTGTATAAAAATGAATGAAAATCTAAAATGAGATATGAAAATATTTAAATAATAAATTTACTAATATTTTTTAAAATCTCAATTTTTTTAATTTGACCCTCCTCCTTTTCCCTCAAGTGCGAACGTAATATGTGAACTACACTAGAGTGGTGTTCACATACTACATTCGCACTTTTTAAGAAATCTAGACCCCTACTTCCCCAATGTTATTTAAATTCGAACGTTTTTAAAGTCTAAACCCTTCCCCTCTCTCTCGTTCATAAAAGTTCGCTTTGGCTAACACCCCCCCTCCCCAAAAGTGCGAACGTAATATGTGAACCATGCCTAATTACTATTACAACGGCCATACCTGAATTGTCGCCAATGACAGCGTATAACTGAGTATAACATCCTATTATATATATATATATATATATATATTGTACGGAAGCCTAATAAAGTATATAAATATATTTATAACAAAAAATTACTTTGAGCCAATGGCCGCCTATATGACTACCATTGATCATGACTTATGGCCAGACCAACAGACAGGCAGACAGACAGACATATAGAATTCAGATACGTGTTTATTATAATAATAATAAAAAGTATTGCTAAAGTGCTTCAAATACTAAAAGTCCTTAAATAAATAAAAAATAAAATCATCATTATTACAATGAAATTATTTACAATATTAATTGACACAGTTTATTGGCAATAAGTTAACGATAACTTTAACAATAGTTCAAAATAACAATATATTTTTTAATAATTTCTATTATATTTAACTAATAATTTTATTAGATAATAAATATATTTATCTTTGATTATAACTATAGTAATCATTTTTTTATAAAAAATATTTATTTGCTTTTAATGCTTAAGTTTTTTAAAATATATATAATATTATATTTATAACTTATCACTATTTAAGTTAAAAAAAAATTTAAAAATAAGTTAATAAAAAAAAGTTAATTACTATTTTTTTAAAAATATAATATAAATTCCATTATAATTTGTAAATTTCTAGTAAATATTTTAAATTATTTTATAACTAACTAATTAAATATTAATAGTGTAGTTTACTTATCATTTAAATTTATAACTATTAATTAAGCGCTAAAATAAATAATATATTTTTATATAATTATACTGTTTAATAAAATTAAACATATCATGTGTTAAATAAAAAAAAACAATTACAAGCATAAGATATTAAGTTTGTAAAATAATCTAAATTAAAATATTTATTTTTTAAAAAGATAAACTAACCATTTTAAGTAATAATCAATAGTTATATTGATTATTTTGTTTTTTATTTTAAGAAATGATAAGTATTTATCTCTACACTTTCCAGAATGGGGCGCACCGGAGGCGGGGGTGGGTCGGATAGGTAGACAGGCTTTAATGTGTAGTGAACATATGTAAAATAATAGGAGTCGCAAACTAAAGGTTAAAAAGTTAGAGCATTTTGAAATGTCAAATTTATTTAAAAAATTCTGCTTAAAAATGTATTCAAATGTTATAAAACCATACCTAACCTAACCTAACCTAACCTAACCTAACCTAACCTAACCTAACCTAACCTAACCTAACCTAACCTAAACTAACCTAACCTAATGTAACCTAACCTAACCTAACCTAACCTAATGTAACCTAACCTAACCTAACCTAAGCTAATCTAACCTAATCTAACCTAACAATATATTAGTTTAAAATACTAGACATTAATTATTTTGTATATTTATAGTTTGAAATATAATTAAAATAAAACATTATTATAATAAAAAATATTTATTGATTAGATTTCTAGAAACAATCTTTTAGTTTAAAATACTAGACTTATTTTTAAAAAAATTATATTATATTGTACTGAAATTTTTAAAAATTAAATTATAAAAATATAATAATTATTATAACAGCTAAATAAATTAATACATGTTCTGTATATAAAATAAATTGATTAAATTAATGATTTTTTTTTTAATTTTTTTTAATTTTTTCAACAAGTTGACATATTAATCCATGAGATTTAGTTTGATTGCTTAATCAATTTCACATTTATCATTTAAATTTTGTCCTTTTGGACATGCTAAGATTATTATTTTTTTTAAAAATAAGTAATAATTAATATTATAATTAAAATAATAATAATTATAATTAAAATAATAATAATAATAATTAAAATAATAATAATAATAATTAAAATATAATTACGTTTTTTATCTGGATCCTTTGCATTAATCTCTATGATTACTATAATAATAATAATTGATAATACAAATAGTTTACTAGTTTTAGCAAAAATTTCATTCATAACAATTGTTTGTTAATTTAAATTTACAATTATTTAAAAAAAATTAATTTTTAATGGCTGCTGATATATATATATTAATATAATAACATGTGGTAATATAATAACAAAAATTTATAATTATAATTATTGTTATTGATTTAATATTTTTATGTCTTTTTATTTAATTAAAATTTTACTTATTTTTATAATTTGAAATGTTGAAAAAATAGACTTAAAATTATTAATTAAAATTTGCAATTATTTAAATAAATAAATAAAATTTTTATAATATTTCTGTTATGCAAAACATGTGATAAAAAAATTAAATATGATTAAGTAAAATTTAAATTAAATAATAAAGACAAATTAATATTACAAATTAATATTACAAATTAATAATAATAATTATAATTATAAAAAATCAATTTTAACTTAAAATTTTATTATATTACTTAATTAATACAACTAATTATTATAAATATAATGTTATTAAAAAAATTAATGTAAACATCCTATTTTATATAATTTTTTTTTTGAATATAAAAATTGAATAATTTTTGTTATTTTTATAACTATTTTATTAAAAGTTGATAAATTTATTTTAAAAAATAAACATTAAGTTCTATGGCAATATATTTATTATAAACAATGAAAACACTATCAAACAACTAATAATATTATTATTAATAGATATTAAAATTTAAAAAAATTACTAACAATTAATTTATAACATTTAAAATAATTTGGTAATTGTTTAATATATTACCTTGGATACTTTTTTAACATTTCAATTAACAATAACATTGTCAAAATAAAAATAAATTATGTAAATTAATATTTACTATTTATTTATTATACATTATTTTTTAAAAAGAAAAAAATCATTATTAATATTAATAATATAAAGATAATTGAGCAAAAATAATAATTTTACAATTAATTACTCATTTTATATATATATATATATATATATATATATGATTAACATGTATATCAATTTAAAACACATGAAAAATAATATATATTTTTTAAAATATTTTTTAATAATATATATATTTAATTAAGTACATTAAGGTACAATCAGTTACAATGTACTAACAAATTAAATTATTTAATAATACAGTATTTTGTTGGTATTACTAATTTATTATATACTATACTATACAAAAAAAATAATAATAATAAATAAAAATTTGATTTTTAAGTGCATAGTTTTAGTCCTTGAAATTTTTATTACTTTATATTGTTATTAATGTGTATATATTAATAAAAATATACTGTATATATATATACCGGTATATATATATATATTTATATGATAACTATAATTTGTCCCTAATGCACTAATAATATTATATATATATATATAACTATGTGTGTAAAATGATAATAATAATAATATTGATAAAAATAATCATAATTTTGTCCCCAATGTCCTTTTTAAAAAATTTTGTTTAATCTCAATACAAAAAAGTGATAATAATTAGGACATTATTTTTTAGTAAATTACTTGAATTTTCTTTTTTTGTTTATAAAAACTATTACTTTTATGTTTAGTACAGTATTTATAATAGTATTGCAAATACTATATATATATATATATCTGTGAAAATAAATTTATTTATATTCAATATATAAATAACTTAATAGTGATAAAAGTTATTTTTGACGTAAATTTTTTGATTAATATTTTTTGTTTTGTTTTTGATACTATAAAAGTCGTGTAAATTATTATTTTATTGATGAAAATATAATAATTATTATTAAATATATTTTTAAGTGCATTTGAATTGAAAACACATTAATTTCATATTAAAATTTTTTTAAAAAAAAAAGTTTTTAAAATTATTTATTAATCAACAAAAAAAACTAAAAAAAAAAAATTATGTCTAATAAAAAGTTAAATATCTTAGTGTCGGTTATGGAGGGCGTGGGCCATGTAAACGCTTGTATCGGTTTGGCTCAAGTACTACAAAAACGTGGCCATCGGTTGACATTTATCGTCGACCGGGCATTCAGGGGACAGTTAGCTCAGTATGGTTTCGATGAAGTGATTATCGATGATTGTGGCGATAATCAGACACAACAACAATCCGGACAACAATCCGGACAACAATCCGGACAACAATCCGGACAACAATCCGGACAACAATCCGGACAACAATCGGGACAACAATCCACGCAACAAACCGGCGAAAACAAAAAACCGGGCGAAGAAGGGGCACAAATGATACTGAAATCGGGACTAATGACGGGATTGTCGTCAGTGGACAAAATGAAAATGATGTTAAATATACCAGTTTTGGATACAATACTAGAAAAAGCCCGAAAATCGGATCCAATGTATGCCAAAGTTGTCCGGGAAGTGGATCCCGATTTGATTATTTTGGATGAATTTCTGGGACGACCAGCACTCGTACATTCGGGTAAGCCGTGGGTCAGTGTTTTCAGCGGTAATCCGCTGTTTGCTATCGACGACTATAGGACACCACCATTTGCTTCCGGTAATTATTATTAGTTTTTAATAATAATAATAATAATAATATTTATAATTATAATAATAGAAATAATAATAGAAATAATAATAGAAATAATAATAGAAATAATAATAGAAATAATAATAATAATAATAATAAAAATAATAATAAAAATAATAATAATAATAATAATAATAATAATAAAATATATATTTTAATTATTTTTTACAATTATTATATATGTATATATTGATAGGTTTTCCAGCCGATAGCGATAAAAACAGTTGGACTGAAATGAGACAATTGGGTAAACAGCTGTTTGGTGGACAAGGACTAGAAAAATACAACCAATGGCTCCGGGAATTAGGACTACCCCTGAATAATTCGGATCAAATTATACCCCGATCACCGTATCTGAACATTTATGGCTATCCCGAGGAACTGGACTATACAGACATCAGACCAATACCCGAGAATTTTTGCCGTATCGATGCCTTTCTCAGGACTGATCCCAAAGAGTTTAAAATACCCGACAAATTGGAAAACCGGGATAAATCAAAATCAAAATTAATATATCTATCGATGGGTTCAATGGGTTCAGTCGATGTCCAACTAATGAAACGGTTTGTCGATATACTGGCCAAAACCCGGCATAAATATATCGTTTCGAAAGGACTTATGGCCAATGAGTATGAATTGGCCGATAATATGTGGGGTGAGGCCAGTGTCCCGCAAACAAATGTCCTGCCGTTAGTCGATTTGGTTATAACTCACGGCGGAAACAATTCGGTTACCGAAACGTTTAGTTTTGGTAAACCAATGATTTGTATGCCATTAGCAGCCGATCAGTTCGATAATGCACAGAGACTTCAGGAGACTGGGTATGGCCTACGATTGGATCTGTATTTGTTTACTGACCAACAATTAGTCCAATCAATTGATAAACTATTAACGGATAAAAAATTATTGGATAGACTAGCGATTGCATCCAAACGTATGCTTCAATCGGATAGTATTCATAAAGCATGTGAACGTATTGAAAGTCTAGTTAATTAATAGATATTTTTTTTTAATTTTTAATAATTATTTATAGAATATATAAAATACAGTTTTTTTTAAATTAAAAAATTGTTTTTTAAATAATATTAGATACCATTTAATATAACAAATTATTATTAGTTATAACTATTAAGTTTTCACTAATTTTTTTCTATTTATAAAAACAGTTTTCTATTTAAAAAATTATAGAAATATTAACTATATATTTTTTTAATTTTTAGTTTTTTTAATTTTTTAAAAAATTATATATTGAATATATTAAAACAAGATTTTTTATTTAAAAAAATTGTTTTTTAAATAATATAAGATACCAATTATATAACAAATTATTAGTTATAATTATTTAGTTTCACTTTTATTTATAAAAAGAAAATATATACAAATTATTAATAATTTTTTTATATATAAAAAAGAAAATAAAGTAATTTAAAAAATATTTACTAAAAATTATGTTTTTATAACACATTTATACAAATAAAACATTAATTTACTAATATAATACAGTAAGTACTTTATTTAATTGCACAAAAAATAATAAAATAATAGTTAACAGCTTTAATTAATAAATATTTTTATTACAAATGTTAAATAATAAAAGTGATTAATCGATAACTAATTTTAGTTATAGTTTTTATATATAAATATTTAATGTTAATTTTGTTTTTTAAAGTTATTTTATTAATAGATAATTGATTTAAATAATATTAAACTATTGCTATTGGGAATGTTTAAAGTATCCAGGATAACTATTAGATTAATAAAGTTATTATCGATACTTTAATTATTTAATTAATAAAGTATATTATTAACAAAAAAAAATTATTAATCATATAAAACAACAATTTATTTAATCTTATGAAAATATATATATATAATTAAAAATATAAAATCTATTTGTATTACATTAATTGTTTTTTAAATTACAATTTTTAATTACCCAGTTAGTAATTTACTAATTAATTGTCAAAATTATTAATACTGTTATTAATACTGAAAATAATTATAATTATAAACAGGTTCAATTATACATACTGTATAACATTTTAAACTAAAATTTTAAATTTAATAATAATCAGAAAAATTTTTATAATTAAAGTGATACAAAAAAAAATAAAAACTAAAATCCATATCCAAATTTGTGGACAATTGTCTCAAAACCGTTATTAAATTGTCTATTAGTTAAACAAACTATTCATAGTTTGGACCAATTTTGGTGATAATTGCCGGTCGTTTTAATTGTTTATTAATTAGGTCGACATCGATGAAGTCAATATCAGTCAAGTATTCAATTGTCAGATACTTAAGTCGGGGACAGTTAGTGGCCAACGATTTCAATGAAAACACATCGGTTAGCATTGTATAGACATTCAGGTGTAGGCTATCTAACTGACTGAACAGTCGGACACTATCTATAATATCCGTGAAATCTTGTTCAACAAAACACATAATACGTATCCATAGCGACCGTATACCCGGACACTTGTTGGCCACTATCGGCAATATTCGGCTTCTGTTGTTGAACAGTACAATAGCCGGACAATCGATGGCCAGATGTCTGAGTCGATGAAATTGGGTTAATTGGCCGACAAATGTCATCAGCTCTGAATGTGTCCAACGTTTACGTATATGAACTTCAAATGATTGGATATTACCGTCGATGTTGTTGTTGGCCAACACATCCATAATCGGTTCAACAGTTTTCCAATGATCTAAACCATTGGTAACGATATTAATGGCCGAAATGTTTGAACATTTGGCCATCACTTGCGATAATCTTTGTGTTGTCATTGTTTTATTTTTCGACAATTTATCGGTAAATTTCTGGTCGATAATCAGCTGCCGATGACTATTGTAGACCAATCGTTGCCATTGACGGCAAACACATTCAAAGCGGAAACGGTCGGCCAGTGTCAGCAACTGTGCTAACATTGTGTCCAATAAGTCGTCGCCGAACCGATCAAACGAGTCCTTCATCTTCTTCATCGGCGGTAATGTTTTGATAGTTGTCATCAAAATGGTAAGCAATACTAACAAACAAACAAAATAAGACAATAAAAAATAATTCAATGATTTTTTTTTTTAATTATTTGATTAAATACTAGTTTTCAAGTATACACTACTAAACTGTATTACTGACTGTTTTAATAAATTATTTATTAATAACTTAATTAAAAAAAAAAAGTTTTATTATTAAACTCTACTAAAAAATAAATTCAATTCAAATGTATTTTTTTATATCAATTTTTTTTGTGTACTTTATATTAGTTATTCATTTAATGTATTTATATACTAGAGTTTGATATAAAAATCCTATTAATATGTAAATTATAAATAGTATTAAAAATTGAGTTTTATATATATATATATATATATATTGTATATATAACTTAACCGATTATTAGGAAAATTAATTAAAATATATAATATTAATTTGTTTTTGTTTTTTTTGATTAAATTATAGGAAAGTTTTATAATGTATAACATATAATATGATAAATACTATAATAAATGCCTTAAATTTTTTTTGTTGATTAAAACTATTCAAATGCTAAATAAATTAATTATTTCAATAAACAATTTTTTTATGACTATAATTACAATTTTGATTCAAAAAATACATTTTTTTTAAACGACATTTATTATTATTATACTAAAGTATTAATAGTAATACTCTATAAAAACATTAATATAATAATTAATTGATATTTAATCAATCAATTATTTTATTAAATATACAATAATTTTTTTTAAAAACTCTGTTTATAAATAATTGTATGATTGATATACCAAAACAAAAAATTGTTACAATTTGTTATTAAAAAATACATTTACATTGAATTATTTTAGTAGAGTTTAAAAAAACTATTTATTAAGTTATTTAAGATATTTTTTGTTAATTATTAATAAATTTCAATTTTATTTTATTTAGTTTAGAGTTTATTAATTAAAGAAATTATGTATATATTTATTTAAAAATTAATATTATTATATAAATTAAAGTAAGTAACAGAAAAATAATTAATTAATTTTTTAAGATTATATTTTATTTTAAAAAATTATTTTACTAAATAAAAGTTATATATTTAGTATTATTATAAACCGTAGTAATATACAGTACAAATTATTTAATATAAACATATATAATATATATTTAATTATTGTTAAATATAATATTTGCATATTATACAGTATTATCAATGTAATTAATTAAATATTTTGAAATAAATATAATATTTTTTTTCAATTTAAAGGTTTAGTTTATGTTGAATTTATTAACTCTTTTTTTTAACAATTATAACTATTAAAATATATATAGTAACTGTTCGCACATTAAATAGTTTTATAATTTAGTTATAACAGTTGCCTAATTAAAAAATAAATAAATATAATAATTAATAAAATTAAAATAATAATAAATATTTAAAATTGTTACCCCATATGATTGAAATTTTATCGGTAATGATGTCGTATAATACCATTGATTGGATTTATAATCATATATTTCAACCGATTCTGTTGGAGAATCTGTAAATAATTTTTTTTTATAAATAAAGTTATTATTGATTTATTATAATAATAGTATATTTATAGATATTAATATTTTGTTGATATTTATCGTTAACCAATATAAAATTAATTAATTAAAATTTTTATATTTAAATCATATAATATTAATATTAGCAATTAAAATATATAAATACAATTTGTTTGTCCACCCAATGCATATAATTTGTCATCAAATGCAATCAATTGAAAATGCATTCTGTCTAATATCATTGATGCTAGAATTTTATTTTTGGAAAAAAAATTAAAAAATTAAATAAAAATAATTTTTTAATTAATAACAATTCAACCAATTGGTGTCCATTGATTTGTTTGCGGATCATATGTTTCGCATGATTTCCCATCACTATTACCCCAACCGCCGCAAACATATATTTTACCCATAAATGATGCTGAACCAAATGATGCTCTTACATTTTTTTTTAAAAAAAATAAATTATTTATTATCAATATTAAATTATCATAATTATTAAATATATTAAATAGACATTAAAGATAAATTTTTTTTTAAATAAATATTTATATATATGTGCTTTTTTAAATTTCAATTATCTGGTCAACAATACGTTGGATTTTTACAAATCGACCCCAAGATGGCAATGATGTAGATAATTTTAAATTTGATAAAATTATAATTGGTCGACTGCAATTATCTGGTAAATCATACAATTTTTTTTTTTTTTTAAAATGACTATTTACAATCTAAATTATCTACAATATTGCCATCATGGTCACTTTGTCCTAATCCAATATATTTTTGTTGACCAGATAATTGAATTTTTTAAAAAAAAATTGCCGCTTTGTTTAATACTCATAAAAATAGGATTTATAAAATATAATTATTTTAAATATTTAAAAATTAATTAATCAAACTAACCTTGCATATTTCATATTAGCCATTGGATGCCATTGTTGTCTAACTGTATCATATCTTTCCATTGTATTTAAATGATAGCCATTAAAGCCTCCGATAGCATAGATAAACCCTTCGTGAGCTACCAGTGCCAGACCACTCCTAGCCGTATCCATTGGTTGAGCAAAATGCCATTCATCAGTATTTGGTGAATAATATTCACATGAGGTCAAATATCTTTCTATTTTTATAATTTTATAAATATATAATATATAAATATTTTATAATTTACATTAAATATAAATTTATATATATATATATCAGGGTTAAACAATATTAGGGGAGGGGTAGACCGGGATAAAATTTACAAAATTATCAAAAAATCTTGGGGGGTGGTATTGGGTAATATAAGATTTTTATTGCATTTTTAAACGGCAATTTTTTCAAAAATCCAAAATCAAGGGGGGTCAAAAGAAAATTTTAGGGGGGGGGGTCATTTCACCTCGTTTTTAAGCGACAATTTTTCCCATTTGGTCAAAAAGTTTGGGGGGGGGTTAAATCACAAAATTTTGATCTTAGG